AAACGAGCGTAATTGATCAGTGAAAACAAGATATCTCCGAATTCATCTTCCTTTTTGGTCAAATCATCTGTTTTGGCTACTTCTTTAAATTCATTGATTTCTTCTTCCACTTTTGACCACACATCATCGATATGTGACCATTCGAATCCTACTTGGGCTGTTTTTTCTTGCATACGATATGCTTTGACCATGGCGGGAAGTCCAGATGGCACACCAGAAAGCACAGATTTTTTGCCTTCGCTTAGTTTTATTTGTTCCCAATTCCGTTTGACATCTTCTTCATTATCTACCTTCACATCGCCGTAGATATGAGGATGCCTTTTGATGAGTTTATCACAAACCGCATGAAGTGAATCAGCCATGGTGAAGTCTTGTTTTTCTTCAGCAATCTTGGCATAAAAAACCAAATGTAGCATAAGATCACCTAGTTCTTCTTTGACATCAGACATATTATTTTGTATGATGGCATCAGATAGTTCATAGGTCTCTTCTATGGTCAGAATACGTAATGTATCCATCGTTTGCTTCATATCCCACGGACATTTAGCGCGCAAATCATCCATAATATCTAACAATCTAGAAAAAGCATCGAGTTTAGCTTGTTTAATTTCGGTCATATATACTTGATATTAAAATGATTTTATTTAAAAAAAGTAATTTTTATTTGTGTCTTTATGATAAAACTTGCTAATTACTTTATTGGGCAAAGGTAATTCATTGCGTGAAGAAAAATCAACTTAGGCATTAGAATAAATTTCTTTAACCCATTAGTATTTAAAACAATAATAAAATTACCTTTGTTACGATATATATAATCCAATACAAATGCAAGAATTTATTTATATACTTTTAATAATATTCGGAATCTTTGGTGTGTCGTTTATGCTAATGAATTTGAGGCATATGTTTACAGGGCAAGAATTCAGGGGATCATGCGCTAGTAACAATCCAATGTTGAAGAATCAGTTGGGAGAATGTTCGGTGTGTGGTAAGAAGCCAGAAGAAGATTGCAAAATGCCAGAAGCACACGCCTAATTTTGGTGTGTAATTATCTTTTTGCTATTTTTGTTTGGTAAAAAACATAGAATGCAGATACAACAAAAATTACCACCGTCAATAACAAAATAAGCATTCGAATTTTATTTGGTGCAAGGCAAAGGTCTGATTTTATCTATTTATTTTCAAACAATTTTATACTTAAAATATATTATCTCAACAATTCCAATTTATGCTTTCTATTTACAATCAAAACATTAGACATTCATTATATATATTACTAATTACAGGACAGTTCATTACTTTTTTCAATCAAAACATTTCTGCACAAGCTCCCAAAAAGATGACTTCTGGAGAAATCTATCAAGATCTTGAAAAACTTGGGTTTCTGGGTTCGGTTTTATATGTAGCTGCACACCCTGATGACGAAAACACAAGATTGATATCATATCTTGCCAATGAAAAAAAAGCTTTGACTACCTACCTTTCTTTAACTCGTGGTGATGGCGGTCAAAATCTAATAGGAACCGAAATAAGTGAATTACTAGGCGTCATGAGAACCCAAGAACTGCTCATGGCTAGGTCGGTTGACAATGGAAACCAAATGTTTAGTAGAGCCAATGATTTCGGATATTCAAAGAATGCAGAAGAAACCATAAAAATATGGGACACGGAGCAAGTAAAAGCAGATGTTGTATGGGCGATTCGTAAAATGAGACCCGATGTCATCATCAATCGATTTGACCATCGTACATCTGGTTCTACACATGGACATCATACTGCTTCGGCACAATTGGCATTTGAATTATTTGAAAAAGGAATAGATAAGACAGCTTACCCGAACCAACTAAAATATGTAGATGTTTGGCAACCCAAAAGACTGTTTTTTAATACATCATGGTGGTTTTATGGTAGTGAAGATAAATTTAAAAAAGCAGACAAATCTACCTTGATGAGTATGGATGTAGGTGTTTACTTTCCATTACTCGGTAAGTCAAATACTGAAATAGCAGCAGAATCAAGGAGTAAACACAAGTGTCAAGGATTCGGGTCTACAGGTACTAGAGGCATGCAATTAGAATATTTGGAACTATTAAAAGGAGATTTACCACCTAATAAATCAGACATTTTCGAAGGTATCAATACGACTTGGTCTAGAGTTGCAGGTGGAGAAGGTATTCAGGTAATGGTAGAAGATGTAGTCAAAAACTTCGACTTTAAAGATCCATCTAAATCAGTACCGTATTTAATTAAAATATACACTGCTATACAAAATACCCAAGATCCTTTCTGGAAAGAAATCAAAACCAAGGAAGTCAAAAACCTAATCGCTGCCTGTAGTGGATTATATCTAGAAGCAAAAACAAATGCACATAAAGCCACTAGTGGAGAAGTATTAAATATTGATATAGAAGCAATCAATAGATTGAACGCTGATATCAAATTGGTCTCAATACAGGGTAAAGGTATTATGATTGATACGACAACAGAACTGGCATTGATTAACAACGAAATATTTAAGTGGACTAAAGCTTCTGTTATCCCTGAAAACACACCTTTGACAGCGCCTTATTGGTTGACAAAAAAAGGAAGCCTTGGATTGTATAATGTGGAGGACCAAGCCATTATAGGAAATCCTGAGACACAACGTACACTCAAAGTAGTTTTCAAACTTAATATCAATGGCGTAAATATAGACTACGAAAAAGAAATAGTCAACAAATTTAACAGTCCTGAAAATGGAGAGACTTTCCGTCCCCTTGAGATCGTACCACGACTTACTGTAAAGGTCAAAGAACCCGTTTATATTTTCAATAGTAAGGAACCAAGAGAAATTGTGCTTACCCTACATGCATGGGCAAAAGATCAAAATGGTGAATTATCTAT